GATCATTGTTGAACTCGAATCGAAAATTTCTACTCAATGCAGCACAATAGCGCAGCTGAAGGTTGAGCTCAGCGAATGCGAAAATGAACGGGACGAAATAAAAGAACGATCAGAAACTTTCGCCAAGTATGATGTAAAGCTATTTGTGCTCGCTTAGTAATTTGATGTTTGTTTTTTTCTGGCTTTATTATTTAATTGTTGTGTAAGTCTGTTTTTTGTTTTACTCAAAGGTTTAAATTTTCACTGCCAGGGTTTTGTGATGTTTGTAATCTACTAGATTTTCATCATCATTAATGTTTCGCATATATATATATATATATGTGTGTGTGTGTGTGTGTGTGTGTGTGATTCAATCATTTGTTATCGTTTGTTCGTTGTTTAGTCGGTGTGATATATTATTCCATACCACATCATCCGATATTGTTCGATCCTTGCAGATATTGTACATATATCAATACTATATGTGCAAATTATTATAAAATGTCAATTGTAAAGATTGACTGATTAAGGGATATGCTGCTGATACACGTTATCCACAAAAGTTACGAAGACCTAGAGGATATGGTATGGTATAGTACGTCAAATCATATTTAGTTTGAACGGATAATGCTGATTAATTTATTGCTATAAAAATGTTAAGGGTTTGCGCATATATACTTGAAGAAAGAGGTACCGTTATCTTACCGTGCAGTTTAAGATTGACAGTTATCATGTGTGCTATACACAGACAATGAGTGCTTTAAGTACGTAACCTTCTGCCGGCATTTCCGTCATAAAGCATTAGCGATTGTCTTGGAGGTCAAACTGCATACAACTGGCGTAAGCTGACAAGGAGCATCTGACATTTCACTGTTGCTGTGGGCAGTTAATAACTGTGGCAAAAAGAAGGAACGCTTATAACCACTAGTGTATCGATCTTCGCGACACTTTCATGGTGGTGCCATTGCCTGTGCCGTTCTTTTCGCTGGGTTACTGGTGGGTCGCTGACCACTATTTCCATTCCATCAGCCAGAAGTGCCTTAAAGAAGAGTCGACAGCAGCTGTGTAGCAAGCATAGTGTGTAGTCCTCCTCACGGAGGGATTTTCATTTGTGAACTTCGGAAGGAAGAAATGCAGGTGAACCGGTCAGGGCTCGAATTCGATACCTATCCGTTCTCAGTTAGACGCTCTGCCAGCTGAAGAACTTCGTTAATGGCAAACATCCGTCCGACTAACTACCTGCCCCATCCTCTTTGATTAGCAATTCGACTACGTTTCACAGTTGTCATTTACAAATGTATTTGCCTAATGATTCTCCACAAAGTATAAATCTGGCAGCAGTAGTGACAAGTATTATCCTCTTTTCAGAATGATGGCGAGTTGTATCTAAAACCAATACTTTGGACTTTTTTCTCAGTTGTCATTCGTTGTTCAAAGGGCATAGTTCATGAGGAATATTTAATTGTGTTTTCTTTGCTCAAGGATACGGATGATGACCTCAAATCTCCAAACTTTCCTCAGGTTTGTAATCGGTGGCCTGATCCTAGGCAGATCTGCGTTAATGTTACAACGCACTGAGTGAAACATGGTCACTGTTTTTTTTGTTCCTTGACCATTTGAGGTATCGTGGCATTCAGTAATCTATCCGTCGTCGCAATTTATCCTGTATTATTAGTGACTGGGAAAAGGTTGAAGTTAAAAGTGATTCCGTATGCAAACTCCTGTCTCAGCAGCGCTGTTTGCAAAATATTCTGAAAGTGCGATGGTTCCATCAGATGAAGAATGAAAAGATCTTGGAAATGATGGGTCTGACAGTGCTGTCTGAAGAAGACATGGACAGGCATCTGTCGTGGTTTGACAGAACCTTCCGGATAGAAAATGGAAACTTATGCAAAATCATCCAACTCTGGGTAGCAAAAATGGCCACACACGTCGGAGGCTAACAACTCACCTTAAAGCAGCTGCTAATGATGGACTTGCTTGCGACGAGGAGTATGACAATTGCCGTGGCAACCAACATCCTATAAATCATGCTGAGAAATCGAAGCGTCAGACATCATTAATCTCGGCACTCGCTCTTTGACCCTGATAGTTCAGATTGCAGTGACAGCACCATGTAAGTTTCTCTATCACGTGGCATATTCGTTGATGCTCAGGAACAAAGAAGAATTTAATGCAGATAGTTTACACGAGAAACGCTGATGCTAGAACGGTTTCCAACAAGTAGGCAGGTGAAGAAAGTAAACCGAAGATGCAGTAATTGTCAAGTTTTGGTAGTTGAAATATTCTGCTGTTGTACAGCAGGCTGTGATCAGCCAGCGCATTTTGTTAATCATTTATTATAAAGCGAAAATGGAAATTTTACAAAAACAGTCATACCTTACCCACAAAATGAAGTGAAATTTTTCAGTATGCAGTATAAAAAGTGGGGAAAAAAGTAAGAAGGTGAAACAATGATCAAGATAAGAGATGTATTTTTTGTATCTAAGTCACTCGAAGTTGTTTTGCCATGCTGATCTGTAAAAGCTCATTCATTGCTCCTTCTTAGTTGTTGCCTGCTAGAATGTTGTTACTGTCCTCATATTGTTAGTGACTCTATGAATTCAAGGGCATGTTTTAAAGTTTGTCTGGTACTTTTAGACAGATAGCTGAACTTAGCCGTCAGAACATGGCGAAAGAAGAGAAAATAACGGTATGGATGCAATCGCGAGTTACAAACGACGTTATTCTGAACCGTTTAGATGTTGGAGGCTGCGTCAAGGGAGGCAAGACACGCTGATTTACGACAAAAGCTAGAAACTTTGCAGTCAGAGTACGACTCACAAAAGCGAATTTTGGAGAAGCAGGTTTATTTTTATAGAACTGTTGTTATCATTGTCTCAGACTGACCAACGGCGTTTCCCAGACTGGTAATACGTAATCAATGTTAAACCGTGCCTCCTTTCGAAGCAACACGAAACACGGCTTATTTATATGCAACGTAAATAATCTACTACATCGGGTGATTAACCAGTACCGATGTCCCAGGGCCTTCTTCAATGTAGAGACATGGATGGGCGTCAGAAGTACTTTTTATTGCTCGCAGCTGTTCTTACGCATTGAACCAGAAGGCCAACCTTTGCTCCTTTTTGCTGGCTATTATATCCGTAGTTGTATCAGAGGATCAGTCCGCGTTGTGATAGAAGAACAGATGGCAGAAAGGAAGAGGGTAACGAAGTCGAAGAGGGAGAGAAGAACCGTTGTTGGCAGCTGTTGCCTGTATACATATTTGCGTTTAGTGATAGGTGATCGCCCGACTCCGCAGTTAGTCTGTTTTATTTGTTCTTTAAGAAATTAATTGCTGTGGCTTTTCAGAACTCTGTCTTTTAAAGCTGTACTCTGTCAGGTACTTCATTGTTTAAATGATTAAATGCTAAAAATAGTGCTTGAGTTTTTTTTATAAAGGAGATGATACTGTTTTCGGCAGATCACAGGCGGTGTAATCACGCGTAAAATTTTAGTCAAAAACATCTTAAAACAAGCAATGACGTTTCAGGTTTCAGAGAAAGCTCTGCTCTCGTTCAGAATAACTATGGCATTTGCGCGGCGTCAGTTTCATCTAAGTCAGGTTAAACCATACGATTAATGGGATTTTGTAGGGTGTTTATAACTTTAT